AGAGAGAGAGAGAGAGAGAGAGAGAGAGAGAGGTCGTGCGTGCGTAAGTAAGAGATTGTAGTGTGTATTGATTGCGTAGTAGATACTGAAAGTGCAACTAGTTCTTTTATTTGATGTATACTTCAATGATGGTTAAAACGCCTTACAGGTCTGTGCGAGCGTGCGTGCGTGCATGTCTCATTATAGTTAGAGAACCCCCTTAATAATACAGTCACTGATAGACCGTTTATTTCTTCTCGTGTCAAAAGTAACGTGACTTGCACGCTTGCTCTAGGAAAATACCCCGATAGACTACTGTTGCGTGCCTTGTGTATTGCTTTTAAGAAAAAAAATTCAACCTTGCATACCACTAAAACAATCCAAAAATAAGGTACACGTAGTTTATTCCACAAATCAAGGCTGTACATACAAGCTTCGGGGGTGTGTCAACTTCAATAATTCACCAGGAATTCGTTGTTAAATTGCCGGGATACTTAATATGCTGGCGGTGCAAGGGGTGCCTAGGAGAGCGAGTGACTAGACGATATAGTGTGGATCTTGCTGGGGAGTGCAGCGCAAATTTTGTACTGCACGCAGAAAACTGTCGCATCCGGAAATACATCCTAACTCTCGCGTTGGTTCCACATACACACAAACACACGGACTCGCGTACATCTCCTGTAAACATTCAGAAAATTGCAAATTACGTTTCATCGATCCTTTAACAAGGAACTGCAAAGAACATTAGCCGCATAACCTTCGACCGTTCGAACAAAATCAACGTTATCTCTACGCGCGCACATAATTGGCGAGCACTGCTGCCCCCTGGTGGCGTCCATGCTAAGTTCAATCAGCAGAGAATCCGTACACAGACACAGGCATCGCTGCCACTCGTCACCCGTAACGTTCACTCGCCACCTCCATAAACGTAAGACGTCCACGACAACGCGCGCAGCTCGCGTTCTCTCCCAGTTACATCGACTAATAAATACAGCTGTCCACGATCGGCAATCACAACCGCAGCACCCACAGTCACGGACCGCGCCCAAACGCTGCAGCACCCACAGTCACGGACCGCGCCCAAACGCTGCAGCATCGGTCCAACCAGATCCAACCTCGCGCCGCAATATATTTACAACCCGGCAGTCGGTAGAGGGAGCGCGAATCGTTCACATCCGCCCACATCTCTCTACGCTCAGCCATCCCTCATGAGTCGACGAGCTCCGACCTTTCTCGATGATTTCCGGACCAACCTCCTTCCCAATTTTCCGCCACAACTCCGCCGGCAAGTTCAATGCAGTTCACTTCGGTACACATTCGCAAACCGCGTTAAAATATGCTTATATAACTTTGCCAATTTCTAAGATATGATTACATTTTTCCCATCACATATTAATTCAGACCAGGAGACAATTCATCCGTCTACAAGGAAAGCCGAGCTTAGATGCTTTCGGCACTTCGCATCCCGCTAGATCACACCTCGCGCAAGGTCTACGCACACCCGTGTCCAATTTATTTCGAGCGCACTCATTCTACGAAGCCAGCAAATTCTACCTGCTTGCACAGACACAGGTAAAACACTCATGCTAACACGCCTGCAAGCACGATAGATCCCCCTGCAATGACATTCCCTATCCAATACAATTACTGGACAACTATGGTGTTGATACAAAACGCATTCAGCCAAAATGGCAACAGCTTAGAACCAACCAGTAGCAACAGCAGCAGCGCGGTATAATAGCAGTTGCACTAAAGCTCTATATAACACTTGTAGTAGCAATGAGACGCCATGCATGAATACGGATAGACAATAGGCCATTGCAAACTGAGAATGATGGCACGCTACCACCAGTGAGAAACGGAGATAGAGAAAGGACACGTGAGAGAGCAGATGGAGAGAGTTTAACAGGTCATAGGGTCTTTCTCTTTCTGGAGAGGGAAATATCAGAGTGAGAGAGAGAGAGAGAGAGAGAGAGAGGGCAGGAGACAGAGGGAGAGAGAGAGAGAGGGCAAGAGAGAGAGGGAGGGCGAGAGAGAGAGAGAGAGGGAGAGAGGGCAAGAGAGAGAGGGAGGGCGAGAGAGAGAGAGAGAGGCAAAAATGGGGAGATGGAAGAGAGACAGACACAAGATCACCTCGTGACTGGACAGCAAGCAAAGACGCGGGAATTTTTGCTAGCCGGTCCGTCAACAGCGACAGCCGCGAGAACAACACGAGAGAGTATTAGAGAGCAAACGTCGTGCACCGACTGATATAAGACACAAGTTTACACGAGGAAGCATGAGGCCACAACGTTGCAACCGATCATTGGGGGCACACCCACTGACAACGAGACAAATAAAGACAGACGACCGACTCCCTTCTAAGCATTCCGGCGTTCCCGGTACCCGCCCTCTCCTTATTATTATCACACTTTCACGCTAGGGGGCGCTGAGCAATGCAGGCACCAACCACGCTCGTTAGCACGCCAATTAAGACGGTGGAAGTCTGCGGGCGTGGGACATCACGCTCGTGTGGTGACCGATACATCATTCAAAGGTTAGTTACACACCAATAGAGATATAGCCCCTTAGCAATAGATCCAACTTATACTGTAGTGCCAAAGAAATCTTCAACAGAGATATACATGTTGCAGAATCACATGCTATGTGTATATATATATATATATATAATTATATATATATATGTATGATGTCAAAGCAGAAGAGTAGACGTGCAGTCTACCCGCGTGCTGCTTGGTAGATGGCGCCACCACCTTACTCCTGCTCCTCCAGTGTGTGCCTGACTTTCGAAAAGTCAAAGTCCTCTCCCATGGATCTCTTGTAGATATCCAACACATCTAAGCATGTCGTCTCAAAGTGCGTGGTCGCGTCGAATACCTTGGAAACAAATATCTGCAAGAGAGAGAGAAAAGACACGTTGACAGTGACATTTCACACGGTTTAACAAGCAGATTCATCGCCAGCCTATAAACTATACTACGAATGCACATAAAGTGAGATATCACTGTCATTTTTTATTTACGAACATAATTCACGATAGATCTTGAATATTCTAATGATTGATTCTAATTCTATTGGGCAATGTCAGGCCATGTCTCAGGCTATAGGCAAGGTTTAATGTTCGAGAGTTCCAATGGCGCACTATAGTTTACACGGACAAATGTATGTTATATCAGACTTGCCCGACTTTCCCTGCCATCATCTGTTGGTTCATACAGGTCAGCCACAGAGTAAAACCTATAAAGTAAAATAAATTTCAGCTGTACTACACACTCAAAATACACATAAACACGCATGATATCGAATAAAATATTACGTCACACGAAAAAGACAAACAAGAGCACACCGTTTACTTGTAATTTAAACAAATGTCACTTAGAACATCTTTTTTCGAGTCAGAACACAGACAAGTTCTCAGCAACACGTACTTTTCCTCGACTGGCCCAAGCAGATCTAGCCCCACTTTGAGTTCAGCTTCTGGTTTGTCCGTCTCCACAGTGGTGCTCACCATGGCAACAAACCAACCCTTAGCTGCCACCTGGTGGCTAGCTGAGACAGCACACACGTAGATATCTGAACATAAGAGCAGCTTATTAGACACGGCATTACACAGCACTGTAGGCAACTAACGTTACCGTGGGCACATAAAACTCGCTTTTGAAATTCAACAACATGATTTTTTTTCATGTTCAAATCAGGTGCGTAGATTGTTGAAGCATAATCACGGCTTTCCTGTCTTTCTGGCCCAAACAAAGGCTCGCTTTTCAATTTACAGACATTGCACTATTTAATTAGGCGAATGCATTAACAAAAAGTTAGAGCATCAAAATATAAAACAACTAGAAACTGCTCTTACATCATGCACAAAATTACACCAAAACCTGAAAAGTCACCATGTCTTAGGTTCTAACCACAACTTAATTTGTGTCACTTATTCTTTTTTCAGCTAGTTAAAGGGCATCTTACCGACAAAATAGTGGGCACGTTGCGTGCCAATAGTATTTTACATTTCATACGAAAAAATAAGACAGAAGTAATTAGGAAAATAAACTTTTGGCAAATTCGCGACGCCTTCGCTACACGTGAGGGGGTACGTGGCGTGGCGGATGCGGCGGACTACTACGATGGGCGGCTTACCGGAGTGTCTGCCGACCTGGTGCTGGGGAATGATAATCTGACACGACGCAGAATCCTTGGTGTTTGGAACGGGATGATTCATCAGGCAGATACAGCGGGCCACCTGCCGGACACACGATTCACACACATTAACGGACGCTAAACCCAGTGCTTCTCGACTTTTTTTGAGTCATGGACCCCTTTGAGAATCTGGTGAAGCTACGGACTGCCCCCACCCCAGAAAAATGTACAGAAGCACATAAACACAATAATTTTTATGAGCTTGGTTCACGGACCCCCTGAAGCCCATCCACAGACCCCAGGTCATCCATGGGGATCCAGGGACCACACAGAGATGCCAACACATATTTGAAGCAATCTGTAGTTTCTGGCCATCAAATTAGTAGTTCGAGGGTCACGTAGTGACCCGAGTTTGCTAGGGGGGTCCGGCATGCCCCCCGGAAAAATGTTTGATTCTGAGATGCAATTTCCTGCAGTCTGAGGGTCAAAAATGACAATAAATTGACAACAAATGACAATAATAAACAAAAAAATTTTTTTTTCGATCACAGTGAAATTCGTAGTTTGATACAAACTGGTCGTAGTGGTGCAAAAGGAATAGAAATTCGTATAAAATACGGATAAATTGTAGTGGTTTGCATCTCTGACCACAGGTTAACAACCCCTGCACTGAACCCTCGCATTCGCCGTCGTTAAACACAGATGCTGCCGGCGACGCTTCGCCAACGATCACGACTGCTAAACAGTTGCACCTCTGGGAATTCAAACAGATTCACATATTTCAATAGGCCGTCTGTCCGCGCTCCGCAAACAATACTGCGACGTGTGTCGCGCGCGTACGCACACATGTACCGACATTAAACCCTCGCGCACTGTCGTCCCCCGTCCCCCTCCGAGAATTTAAACGCTGTGTCAACATGACACCATCTCTCCATGCTTCACAAACAAAACCCAATGCGACGTCCGTCGCGCGCGTCGCTAAAAACTCGCAACTCTCCGCGAATCCTTCCACGAGAGAGAAGCCCCAGCGACGACTCGATCGATTCCCCCTCGCCTCCACCAGGTGGCATCGCACTCACCTGTCCGGCTTTCTTCACGCGCTCGGGAACATAGCTCGGGTCGCAGACCACCATCTTGCACTTGGCGGTCTCGCCGCCGGAGCGCACGCCGACGACGTGTCCGTCTTCCATGACGAGTTCGTCCGCGGGCTTGTCCAGCATGTACGTGCCGCCGTAGATCGCACTCAGCCTGCAGGCGTGCACGTGCGAGGGGGAGAGAGAGAGAGAGAGATCAAAACTGTAGCCTATTCATCAGTAATTTCACCGAAAAACGACAAAAACGCCCAAAATTTACAAATATGTCAATTTTTCCCACGTGATTCATTATCAGGTAATTGGCACAACTACCCAGATGAAACCCACAACCGCGTGACGTTCCTACGCCGCACGCGGACAGGTAGGAGAGAGCAGGAGCGGGCGATCTTACCTGGTGACAACAACCGCGTGACGTACCTACGCTACACGCGGACAGGTAGAAGAGAGCAGGGGCGAGGGATCTTACCTGGTGACAACAACTGCGTGACGTACCTACGCTACACACACAGGTAGGAGAGAGCAGGGGCGGGGCGATCTTACCTGGTGACAACAACCGCGTGACGTACCTACGCTACACACACAGGTAGGAGAGAGCAGGGGCGGGGCGATCTTACCTGGTGACAACAACCGCGTGACGTACCTACGCTACACACACAGGTAGGAGAGAGCAGGGGCGGGCAATCTCACCTGGTGATAACAACCAAGTGACGTACCTACGCTACACACACAGGTAGGAGAGAGCAGGGGCGAGCGACCTCACCTGGTGACAACAACCAACAACATCAATGTTTACCACTCGGGATGGATGAGGAATTGCCACAAACAGTCACAGCTAAAGAAGAGTCTCAAAGTAGAATATGCGAGTGAAAAACATGCGCATGACTGATGTGATTTGTTTAGGATAGATGGTTCTGCTATTGGCTTGGGTGAACTAGCCATCTGTGCCGAGGACTGGTCACGCAGTTGAGGATTATGTTTTAAATGTAAAGGAAGTATTCAACGACTCTTGAAAGAATTATGAAGTGTAGCAGTATTCACGTTACACGAGATTTTAGCAGCGATATCTGTGGCCAGGGGAGGAAGAGAGATCGGCGCAAGTAGAGTCTTCCATCTCAATTCTTAAGACAACCCTGCAGCCAGAAAGTTGGACTGACTGTCACTGAAACAA